TAAATACACTATGCCCGGGCTCTTTTTTTTTGGTACTAAATCTAAAAATGACAAAAACGTCACTAAACACGTCATTAAATCAAAACAAGTGAACCTATTTTGATAGTTCTTTATCTCATGAATGAACTCCCGGTAAAAGAGACCTGTTTACGCTGAAAAGCAATTTGTCGTTAAAGTCGGCGTGAAAGAATGTGCCCGAACCACTGGACGTCGAAGTCGTCTTAAAGGATTATGTCCAAGCCACTGTCAACGGCTCACTGGTACGGGGGTTCCGACTGTGAGCCGTTGGGGGCGGTTGCCGGAGATAAAGAGTAAATAATTCTTAATAAAAATCCGTAGCTCATGAATTATTATGACGTAGATATGATTATTGAACAGTTGTGCTTTGGAGTAAAACAAGTAATCGAAGGTATGTATTACAAGTAAGCATTATAATGGAAACAATTTTTAATAGGACGGAATCAGCTGAAAATTGCTGCTGTGAGTTTCATTGCCGTTACTCATGTTCTACCTTTGCTGTCGTTGTTGCTGTTGTTGTCTTTGTTGCTGTCAGTAACCACCGTCATGCCCGTTCCCCCGACAGGAACCCCTGAAGGTTGTGTGTGCTCAGAGAGTCATCCTGGCCATGCCGGTCTACGCGCTCAGACAACTGGACTGGCCACAGCTCAGGTCAGAGAAAAGGAACAAACGTATCTCTTGACCTACTTTTATGTCTAATAAACGTATTGGGGGGTGGTGGAGAGGTATTAAACTCACCTCTTTATTCATTTTCATGGTTAATTAAACGATTGGTGATGTGTTTCTTTGTTTGTTTGTTTGTTTGTTTGTTTGTTTTTCTTGCTCCCCTGTTTTCTCCCGTCATTCAGGCTGACCATTACGAAACTGTTTACCTGAATTTTGTACGAAAGCAGCTTAGAAACCTCCACCCACAACATAACACACTTGAACAGTCTTGTGGGAAAAAAACACAAAACAAATAAAGCATAATTTTTAAAAGTGAAGTAAATGGAAACTCAAAGTTTTAAAGTCTGTATCATAACGCATTTAGTCACCGTTTGTTTTCTTGCCTATCATAGTACAAGGCTTTACTGTATTTTTTCTAGAACAGTGAACATTAGACGGGAAGAAAGTTCGATGCGCTTTTAAAGTGTCTTCTTAGGGTTATTTCAATTTCTACTAGCTCTAAGACACTGAGTTCTGAATTTACCTGGTCTTTTATGAAAAACAGAAAAGTAAATATAAATATAAAGAAGGGTTGCACTTGCTTTCTCTTTCTTGTGAATCAATTGTCCCAATTTATTGAAGGTATTGTGAACATTAAGTATATCTAACTTATTTGTTCTTTGTACAGAGGAAAATTTGTGTTGTCTATGTGTATGTTGTTGTTTTTTCTACCTCCAGAAATGATCGCGCCACCCAAGCGTACAGAGCCGTACGTCCTATGCCTGCCAGTAAAGTCTTTATGACCTTTGACCAGCCCTGGTGGTTACAGAATGAGAGGAAATCTTGGGTCACCAAATCAGACGCGCTTTTCAGGTACGTGAGTGTGTGCGTGTATGTGTGTGTGTATGTGTGTTTGTGTGTGCGTGTATGTGTGTGTGTATGTGTGTTTGTGTGTGTGTGTGTATGTGTGTCTGCTTGTCTGTTTGCATATGTGTGATGTTTACTTGTAGGTGTGTCTTTTGAAAAGACATCTTCTTAGGCCACCGTCTTTTCTTCTTCCCCTGTTCAGCCAAATGTATGACTGGCAGAAGTCTGAGGCGTCCGGAGATTACATCCTGATCGCCAGCTACGCCGACGGCCTCAAAGCCCAGTACCTGCGGGAGCTGAAGGACCAGGGAGAGGACATCCCAGGCTCTGACCCCGGCTACAACCAGGTCACCGTTCCCCTCAAGGACGCCATTCTTGACCACCTCACTGAGGCCTACGGTCAGTACCTCTGTTTGTTTTCTTTGCTCCACTTTGTCGGTACATTTCTTTATTAATAATCTGGGTTTATTTTTCAGGTGTTTGTAATGTTGAATTTTGGAGACTCTGAATAAGATACGGAACTTTTATCAAAATGTGCTATTACTCAACTTACTTTTCTTTTCTTTCTTTTCTTTGTTTCACTCTCTTTGGGCCTGTCCCTCTCACTACAATGTATGTTTCTTCCCGGTTTCCGTTGTCTTTTCAACTCTTCCTAACATCAATTTTAATTACACCATCATATGTGGTGACTGGGATGTCAAATATACACCATTTCATTGAACACTACCATGTCTCTTACCTAATCTCAAGTGTAATTTTCATACACCACTCACAGTCCATTGTCAATGAAATTCATCTTCCTTCGTGTGGAATATCATTCCGGTATCCCTTTTCTTTCCAACTATCCTTTCCATCCATCTGAACACCACCATGCCCTTTCCCTCCCCCCCAGGCGTGGAGCGAAACTCGATCCCAGAACCCGTGACTGCTGCCTCCCAGTTCTGGACAGACTACCCGTTTGGCTGCGGCT